TAATTTCCATTTTCTACTCAATAAACCATTTAGCTTGCCTAGAGTGTCAGTGCCTTTCTTACCATTACCCCAAAGGAACCAGCATCACCTCCTAACACAACAGTAGCTCTCAAGGCAACCACAATTTATATTTTTTAAAAAAAGCTATTTCCATTGTAAACAAGTAAATGGGTGGATTATTGCTGATACTTTTAAGCAAAAAAGTAATTATCCCCCAATGTCATGGACGATTTATAGGAAGGTCAGTTACTTTATCTGGGTTACATCTTTAAAACGTAATAAATGATTGCAAGCAGAAGAATGGAGTAGTGTTACACTGGTGATTTTGGAAACTGTAAATAATGCTATAAAACAGAGAGAAGGGGTGTGATTTCTTGGCATGCTTTTTGTGGCAAAACAAACATTCAAGGACACAAGAGGCTGTTTATTAGTTCACAACCAAGTGTGAGCAGATTGACTTTGGCAGCATTCGCACCTTTAAGTCATGAAATCTTAAGGTATTTAACACCATCCATTGCATAACTTACTTAATTTTTGTGTAGGGTAAGATGTTCATGCTGTGCTCCTACCACATAATGCAAGAGGTGTCTTTTCAGTCACTGTGTGCAACTCAAAAAAAACAAACCCAAAATTCCAAAGCAGAACCTGCCCCCTTTTTTTCACCTTTAATTCTAAGTTTCTTGTTGTTGCATTACATTGAAAGACTTAACAATCAACTTCTGGGGCCTCTGTAATACTTTGTGTTAGGGCCGATATTGTTTGGTTCGACCACACCAATGCATCAAAGAGTTCACACATTTCAAACACTATTCTGTGACTGACAGGCAGAAAAAAAGGTATTCTCTTGAAAAGCACTACTGAAGGTTTTTTAACATGAGAACGCCCACAGATTTATTATTCCTTATTTGTATCAAAGACAGAGAGACGGCATCTCACTAGGGCATCTCATTAGAGACAGGGAATGTTAATGCTGGAGAACTGGTAAACATTTTCAAATAAACATTTGTTGTGTATGTCCAGCAGGGAAGAGGAAAATGGCTTTACCCACAGTGATGGGAGTACCCATTTAGAAATGAAAAAAAATCTGGCCTCTTCCAGAAAATACTTCCAGGCCCCTGTGAGGGCCTGAAAAAGAACAGTGCTGTGGACAGTGAGAAATACTGCAGACACCCTGTGTTTTACGAGAATGATTGATTGTTTGTTCACTTTTTTACTTGATGGAAAGAAAACATTTGTGATGGCTCTGTGGTCCTATTAAGACTAATTCCTTCTTCAAATGAAATAAAGACTAATTAGGCTCTAATACTAATTTTCTATTTGTCCAAACCCACTAATTTTCATATCGCTCTGTTGCAGCCTACATGTTTATGTCTGTGCATGCTGCATGTCAGAATGTTTGTCTAAGAGTGGCAAAATGATATAAGACAACCATAAATATAATCTATTAAAGTATGCTAAACAGGCTCATGTGAAAAGAGTACAATTCAAATCTTAACAGTAGTAGTTAGGCTATGAGCTACATGTGGAACTACATGTGAACTGTTTCTGCATAAGATAGAGCTTCACACTACGAACACAGGTTTAGCTGACAAAGCTTATGTGTCACTTATATCCTGGTCAGGTGAACTGATTAACAGCAGAACAGTTGAGTGCAAACAGTAAGAAAGTGGTTAAAATTACCTTTAATTTTGAAAACTGAGGATTAAGATTTCTCTGTGAAAAGAATACTGCCAGTGCTTTACCACCATCCAGGAAACAGCAATAATTTGAAGACTGGATAGGAAAATATGGGGTTTCTTTTTTCCATGTTTTCTTACTGTCTTCCAACTTTAATAACCAGAAAAGTACAGAAAATGCTTCAGTTTCTAAGCGAAGTTAAAGAAATCTTTTTCTAAATGTCAGTCCCTGAAAGGTATCTCAAAATTGTTTCCCCTGAGAAAAAAATGTACATGACAGTTGGGTTTGCACAAACAAAAAGAAGTCTGTTAGAACTTCTGACTATGAAGGTGTTCGGGCAGCTGTGGCAGGAGTGCTGCAGATGGATGGGCAGTGTGGATTCTGGTACTGGGCTTTAGGAGAAAATCTTGCCTTCTCTTTCTAGCAATTGCTTACAATTAGGCAAAAGGAAGCAGGGGTTAATGTCCTGATTTTTCAGTGTATTCCTATACATTCTTTCAGTCTAAGGATTCCTATGTTGTTCTGTTGTGCTGTAGTTTTCCCTTATAAAAAAACCAAGGTTATTTGTCTGCTCTGTGGCTGAAATGTGAGCACTGCCTTAGGTCCTCTATGAGTACCCTTCCTTATAATGTTTTGAGTGCAGTAATTCAAAGCCTGATGTCAGACAATCCACCCCACCATGTGCAACGGCAATGTGACCTACACCTAACCTCACGCTGGCTCTTAGTGTATTAACTGGGTGTGCTTCCATTCTTACTAGTTGGAGACACTGTCTTTGGCTATCTTTACAAGCTGATGTCCTCAATTTATAGGTGAAAACCAGGTTTTCCTAAGTAAGTGAAATATTCTAAAAGGCTCACCAGTGCCACTTCACCAAGGGTGACTTGCACTGGGGATGAGAGAGCCAGGTATCAGATGGCAATTGTCATTTTAACTTGCTATATTCTAAGGGTTTTGCATTTATTTCTCTTTGCCATTACTTAAGTTTTGATGCTTTATTTTGTACTACAAATCTATACCTATCCTCACCTTCTTAGGACATAAAATAATTCTGTTGCTTTTAATTAAATACTAACACTTCTGCCAATTCTTCATGATTTAATATATCCAATACCATTAACATGTGATTAACCTAGGTCAACATATCCTTGAAAGAGAAAATCTAAGTCTTAAGTGCAGGATTTTTTTCTTTAAAATATACCTCACTGTTTTAACACACTAATAAGCACAAAAATATGCATACAAATAATAATTTAATACCTTACCCTTCCTGCCTCACAATATTTATGAAATATTTGAAAGAGGATTCATTTATCTATATACATTTATACGAAATATTTAAAAGCTCATCCAGTCCAACTGTTCCCAGCACTGCCAAGGCCAGTGGCAATGGGGCCTCAATGAGGGCCTCAATCTATACAGTTTGGAAACACTTGCAGGGACAGTGACTCTAGCACTGCCCTGGGCAGCCTATTCCAATGCCTGACCACCCTTTCTGGAAAGGAATTGTTCCTCATCTCCAGTCTAAACCTCCCCTGGCCAGCTTGAGGCTGTTTCCTCTTGTCTTAAATGAGAACAATGTTATGAGAACAATGGGCAGTTGGGTGAAGGGGAAGAAAAACAGGACCAAAGAAATAGACCACTTGGAGTGTTAAGAGAAAGCTTTACAGAGATCACATTTTATGATGCATTTCTAAAGGATCTTTTAAAAGAAAGTTCTTACTGAATAATTGATGATGAAATTGAATATTTGATTAAAAAAATATTCAGCAGTTGCCTAAAGCAGGTATCCAGACCTACCTGTTATAACCTGAATGTCAGGTACAGTGCTCCTTAAAGCAGGCTACCCTCCCTCCTGCTCACAAGCTCCGCATTGCCTTCAGAAGTGGGGGTGGCAGATGGGGGACCCCCAAGCCAAACACATCGCCACAAGAAGACTGATGACAGGGAGGAGGAGTGAAGAGCTTGTGTTTTCTCCCACATATTGCTGTCATTGCTGGCTCAGTGGTTAGATTGCTAAAGCAAAATGGACTGGAAAGCCAAGGCTGTGCAGATATATGAGGCTGAATTATTCTGTAGGTCCACTGGTGTGAATGTTGCAAGGGGACACAAGAGGAATGGGCAGCCAAGCAGTCCCCACTGCCCATGTCTGTCCCTCCACCCCTCTGTGGAAGCTGCACCTTTTGTCTCCTCTTGAGCACAAGATCCACAAAGGACTTGGCCTTTGCAAGATGCCAGCATTTCAGGATATGCTTTTCTGTCTGTGTTACCTTTCCCTCATCCACCAACATCCTCATTTGCTGCAGGAATAGTTCCAGCTCAGCCAGGAGCTGCTCTGGCACTAGGTGTGACCCCAGATCTCTCAGGTAGCCTGCCATTCCTTTTCAGGGCATTGCAGTTTCTCAAGTTGTAACTTAGCATAATAAAAAGAGAGGGAAAAATCTGGTAGAAACATAATGTCTTTATTCTCTATAAAGAAACTGTAGTTTTCTGAAATAAAGCTGAACACTGAATGATTCATTCCATATCACATTTTTATTGCTAAGGCCTGTACTGTATGCAGCTAGTGTAGCTTCTCTATGACACTGTGGAGCAACATTTGTTTCAATGTCACACTGTATTAATGCCCTATCTAGAAATAATGGATTTCTATACTAAAACATTTAAATATAGCCTGCCATTGCAGTTTCTTCTAAAATGCATTAAATAAGGCATAGATCTTATATAGGATTCAAAATCTGGTATGCCAGGTCTTAGAAACATTCCGTATGCTGTTCGCCAAGGGCTATTTAAAACAGAAGTCTGTCTTTATTACACTCATGTGCTAGCTTGGTTTTGCATGTGCATAATATTCTGCTAAAGCTAAGTATATTGCTGCATGTCATTGTGTGAATTAAATATCCAAGATGGAGTACAGTCATGGAAAGCTGGCAAGTTCTGTTCTTTTTCACTATTTACAGAAAATGTGTTGTTGCACTCCTTGCTTCTGATATCAAAGGTATAATAAAAAGTTAATGATTTATGCCAGGATCAGTAGCTCAGTTAAAAGTAGGGAGGATGTGACTTAGGCAGAAACAGTAAGGACGGCAGAGACAGAGACACAACTGCCCCTCAAAGGAGCCCAGCAGCGTGGTGCTATTGGCTGCTGCAGCTTGCCTGCTAGGCTAGGATGTTTCTTGTGCTTTCTGGAGAGGCATGTCCTAGATCAGAAGAGAGAAAAGTCAAAATGTGCAAATGGAAATACATCAGCATGCTCCAGCATAATTTGTACATAGCGTTTGTATTCTCTAACCACTGATTTCTGAAAATTCTAAGTGGGGAAAAATTCTGTCCCACAAAGCTCAGCTTCACAACTCTAAGCTGTGCTACTGGCCCTTCCTCCAGCATTCCTGCACAGTTACACTTTCCTATATGCTGCTAACTCCTGTTCTAAAGTTCAGTTAACAGAATAGTTCAGTTGGAAGGCACCTAAAACAATCATCTAGTCCAAATTTATTTACTTCAAAAGTTGCCACAAGCACAGAATATTTTCTTGACAAAGAGAGAATGCAGAGAGAGGATACGAACAGCTCTTGATAGGGCTCTTATTATTAAAATAGCGCTTGGGAGTGTGGATGGCTTGTCCAAGCTGGTGGAGATCTCAGTGGTCCATTAAGATTTTCACCAAGAACAGACACAAGTGCAGAGCTTTGGGCTTTTTCTGGTTGGTTTGCTGTTTGTTTTAGTAAAAGTTCCCAAACCAACCAGAAAAGCACTTAGACCCATTCCTCTCAGAACCTCATTGCCTGAAATGAGTCACCTAAGTGCTAGATATTATTTATATGTCTGTTAGCTTACTGAAGCCCTGTGTCAGTTCATGGTTTTGTCCAGCTGACCAAGGAGCTATCATCAGCGTAAAACTCTCCTATCCTTACTGTGCTACATGCCAGCACAGCGGGCTACAGCAGACCTCGACGAACAAGACGGCATTTATATTCGATATCGTACCGATGGTAGCCTATTCTGTCTAAGGCGACTGAAGGCCCACACTAAGACCCTAAACCATCTTGTCCGTGAACTGCTCTTTGCTGATGATGCCGCCCTTGTTGCCCACACAGAAGCAGCTCTGCAGCGTTTAACATCTTGCTTTGCGGAGGCGGCTGAGGTTTTTGGGCTGGAAGTCAGCTTGAATAAGACAGTAGTCCTCTACCAGCCTGCACCCCAAGAAGATTATCACCATCCCCATATTACCATCGGCGAGTCAGAGCTTAAGACAGTTCAGCAGTTCAGCTATCTGGGAAGCATCATTTCCTCGGATGCCACGATCGACAGAGAGATAGACAACAGAATAGCAAAGGCATATAGTGCCTTTGGAAAACTCCATAAAAGAGTCTGATGTAATAAACACCTGAAGAAAAGTACAAAGATCAGTGTCTACAGAGCCATTGTATTGTCTACTCTTTTATATGGGTCTGAATCATGGGTCATCTATCGTCATCACCTGCGACTCCTGGAACGCTTTCATCAGCGCTGCCTCCGTACAATTCTAAACATCCATTGGACTGACTATGTGTCTAATGTCACTGTCCTCGAACAGGCAGGGGTCATCAGCATCGAGGCCACATTGCTGAAACTGCAACTGCGCTGGGCAGGGCACGTCTCTAGGATGAAGGATCACCGCCTCCCCAAGATCGTGTTTTACGGTGAACTTGCCACCGGTAGCCGCAAGAGAGGTGCCCCAAAGAAGAGATACAAGGACTCCCTGAAACAATACCTTAGCCTTGGCCATATTGACTACCATCAGTGGTCCACCTTGGCCTCCAATCGGGAGACTTGGAGGCACACCATACATAATGCCGCTGACTCCTTTGAGAGCTCACGAAGAACTAGTCTCGAGGAGAAAAGACTACGCAGGAAGAATCGTGTCCCACCTGTTCCACCCAAGGAGACCTTCTGCTGTGCTTTTTGTAGCCGGATTTGCCTATCCCACATTGGCCTTCTTAGTCATCAGCGCGCTTGTAGTAAGCGTGGGTAAATGCCCTTCCCAAATCTTCGTTCGCGAAGTCAAGCCATGACATGCCAGCACAGCAACACTGGACTTCCCCAGTGTTATTTTCAGGAGCAAGCAGGCTGTGGATTGGGAAGAACAACACAGTGGAGGAAGAGACTCACCTTATGGCTGGGTGTTTGGCTGCAACTGCAGAGCCAAGAAAATCTTGTATCATTCAGGAGCCTGGAATCTCAAAAGCTGGTATTCACAGGAGCTTAGTGTCCCTACTGACAACATTTTTTGCGTTAAGTGACGGTAATAAGGAAATATGCTTTGGCACTGCATTAATGATCTTATCTCCCACCCTACATGGGACAGATTTTGTTTTATGAAGCTGCAAATTAAACAGAAGATCAGCAATTGTTGTGTTCATCTCCATTTTTCCTCTTTGAAACGGTGCTACGTACTGCCATGGTGGACATCTCACTGCCTCTTTTGTCTTGGGTTAGCATCGCTCTCTCTGAAGTCGGGTTCATGTTGGACTCTGCAATTTCTATGGCACTGCAGCTGAACATTTGAATCAGACACTTCCTGAACTAGAAAGTGAATAAAAGATCAATCAAAACACGTGGAATCTTACAATATCTCCATAAAGCAGTCTGTGTCTTAGCTAAAACTCCTGGAAATTCTCTTTGGAGTCAGTTGAGAGCATAAGGAAGTAGCCCTATAAAATATATCTGCTGGCATCACCATGAAAAGCTCTAAAACTGAGAAACAATGATGCGCTAAAAATTCCCAGACTACTGGAAAATCTTATTCCAAAAACAAATTGTCCTCTTCTGCTTGTTCCTAACCACATCTAATGGACAAAACGGGTCATTTCTCCAGTCTCACGAGCTGCTTTCATGTGCTAATACCCAGCTATTCAAAGACAGTTTCTTTCCATGCTGTTCATATCCATGAACAAGGGAAAACCAGCAGACATCTGCCACACACTGGGAGATGAGGGTACTGTCCATAGCATGCAAGATAAGCAATAGCTTTCTCTGCAGCATTGAGAAAATAAGCATATTCATCATTTCTTATTCAACAGTCACTTTACTATTTTTCTTTTCAGTTACATGCTTATATTCTGCTTGGTGCCACCACTCTTAGTAGATACATAGCATAAATCTATTCAAGTTTATTATCATGCCTGTTACAGTGATTTCTTTGGTTCTAAATGCTGGATATTGCAATGCTAGCATATCGTAAAAGCTAACACAGTTACCTAGTAGGTACATAGAAATAATTCATTCTAAAGCAAGACAAAATAACAAAATATAAGTGTTAAAGACATTTTGAGAGTATACAGTACCTGTTTGTTCATAAAGACATAAATAACTGGATTATAAACAGTAGCTGTTTTGGAAAAAAAAGCTGGAATTGCTGCCAGACAAGGATCCAGCTCAATGGAGGGATATGCAGTGACTAGGACAGAAAAAGCGGCGTATGGCATCCAGCAGATTAGAAAGGCAATGATCATAACCACAACCATTCTAGTCACTTGTCTTTCGGGTTTCCTGGTAGTTCCCAGCCTGCTTTGTGTATCTGACACCTTTAAAGAAAAGAACAGAAGATTCTAGAAAACAAGGCCTCTAACCAGTGCAGTTAGTGAACAGGTTAACAATCTGCCATGCTAGAAGGAAAGACCTACTCTCTTTGAGTATGGCAGCACATAAGGATGCTGTTACTGGACCACAGGGTGTCTGTCAAGTGTTACTGCAGAGGACATGAATTACTCTACATTGTTATTTCCTTTGCTTAGGTGTCTTTATATTTTTATTGTCAAAGTGAGAGCAAAAAGCAATTACCAAGGCAACCTCTGTGTAGCAATCAGATTGCAGTCCGGCACAATTGCAGCCTGAAGAGACACTCCCAAGACTTCAGCTAAGTCACAAGCAGTGAAGCGGTGGCACAGGTTTGCTGTCCAGCCCCACAAAAGTTAATCTAGCTCAGATAGCTTTATGGGTGCTGCTTCAGCCCACCCCAAGGCAGTACAGAAACACCTTTAAATTCCATTTGTGAGAAAAGTAATCCTAATGATTTTTAAGTCAGGTCAGAGACAAGATTTGGCCTCTGTTCAGAAACAATGACCCTGACAGAAGGAGCAACTGGTATCATCTGATAACAATAACTTACCTCTAAAAACACGAAACAGTTAGGGCTACATTTTTTGGTGATACAACTTGCCATAGATCACTAGCTTCAATGGAGCTACAATGGCTACATAATCTCCTGGCTGTTTCACACCTGACTCACATCAGTCTGGCCTTTTTCTCAGCTACGGCTTTTTGTGGGTGGCAGTAGATTCCTTCCTTTCTAAATCTGAAATCATGAAACCAATAGGGAGCCATCTTACAAACAAAGGAATAGTGCCATAATAATTTATCTCCATTATAAACTGCTAACTAGACCTTTTCCTAAGGTTTCTTTATTTCATTAGTTTTTCAGTTGTAGTGAAAGCTACTATTGGCATTGTAAAGCTGGGCTCACAGGGACTGAGGGACTAGCAGACTTCTCTAAGACAAACCAATGTCACACACGACATTGCACTGTGGCAACCATGGGAAATGGCCATCAAAATCAAGGAAGTGGGTTGGCTGGAAACATCAGGACACCAGTTCTAGTGCATGGGTCTCTCTGTTCACTGCAGTCAGATTTGTAAAAATTAGCTTAGTTGTGAGATATAAGCTTGTGAGTTGTGAGATATAAGCTTATGACAACTTATTATATGTTTAAAGACTATATTCCAGGCAATTGGTTTTTCTACACCAGTTTGGTTTAAGCTATTGTAAGTAACAGAGGCTGGCTCAGACAGTTACATCACTCTGCAAAAGCTCGCAAAAGCCAACAAAAGCCAAAGGCAAGGGCTGGCACAGGCTGTGGCTAAATCATTTGTGATGTGGTGCCCTGAGGCTGCTCCAGCGTCTCCAAGCTCTGTGGTCTGCCAGGTCTCTAAGCTGCAAAAGGCAATGGGCAACACACAACCTCCTGAAAAGTGTGATTTATTCTTTCCTTTAACATTACTGCTATTCTTTCTGGATAACAGAAGAAGGAGCGAGAAAGTGAACCTAGTGAGATCACACAACAGTCACTCCAGGCCAATGCTGGGACCCACTACATGGCACAGATCAGTCTTTCAGAAGATACCCAGGCCTGACCCAAATGGCATGATGGACCTCACTGGCTTCTGCTGTGACTGGCAGTGACATTTTCCTTCTCTGCCTCCTTTTTATCTCATCTCACCTGTTTTTGGTTTAACTTCCAGCCACTTAAGTAGCTGGAAGCCACTGGAGGAAGGAAATGACCCTTTCTGTGTGCCTCCTTGTCGTGGTTTAACCCACAGCCAGACAGCTGCTGCTAAACCCAGGACACTCCTGAAGCATCCTAGTAGCACAACAGCCACTGCTCTGGCAGACCCATCGTAGTGCTGAATGCTTGGCTGCATACTGTCTCTGTTGGGTTAACATCCCTCTCTTTCATGTCTGATCACCAGGGCCACTTTGGCCTGTGCTCTCTCCATTCCATTTCCTCTGTGGGCAGGTTTGGACAGGGAAAAATAAAGTACTGATAAATGTTCTGGATGTTCAGAATAACAGGATCGTAGTTTTGCAAGTTATCTCAGGAAAGTGTGAGTTATCAACAGTGATTTTCTTCAAGTATCTCAATGTCTTGTCATTCATGTCACCCACCCTCACGCCACAGACCCTTTGCTGCCTCACCATGAGCACTGTGAGCAGCAACACGCCTGTGCTATAGTTCACATTCAATCTGGGATGTTTCCTGTGTTTGACACTGAAATCAACCTCCCCTCAGCCACTTAACCTTCTCTCCCCCAAATGCATACTGGGGAAGTTATGAAAAAATCCATTTAGAGGAATGCTGTTGTCACCTGCAGTATGCATTTTCCTAATGCATGTATTTTCTAATGAAAAAATAAGATATTTTCTGCATTTGCCTTCTGTTTTGTTTTACTTATAGAAAATGAGGCTAAGAACAAATACTAGCATTTGGTTATCCCAAATATTTTCAAAACGTCAGTAAACTGAAGAAATTTACTGAAGTTATTACTAAAGGAAAAAGACAAGACAGCTAATAGCAGTAAACAGAAATAAAAATATGGCCCCAAAATCCTGTCCCAAACATGAATTTTCCTATTTTATTGTCTTTTTCACTTGTTGCAGATACTTTTTTAGATCAAGTCAACATTAATCATTAAATAAAATTCAAAAGCATTTCCCAAGTCTTTTAAATGTTCCTGGACAATCTAATATTTTATTTACTACACAGCATTAGATTATATATACTGCAACTTACTCTGCATGCAAGCGTTATAGAGTATTAGTCAGCACCCTTAACATTTACAGTCATTTTAAGCTAAATTTTGAATTACCTGGTTTGATTCTTAAGAAACGTCACTCAATTGAAGAACAACTGCAATCAGACCAACACTGGGTCATTCAGTTTCTTTTGTTGTGAAACAGACATTCTTTCATTGGTATGAGATTTGGCTAATGAGATGCATTGATGAGTGACTGCAAACTGCACACTTTGAAAAGTCTAACCATAAGATGAGTTTCTGTGCTTAATTAAATTACAAGCGATGATAACTGAGTGCATTTGCTGCCTGGAAATTTGATCTGCTTTTGTCTGATCTTCATAGAAAATTGAACACATAAATCCAAAAAGTTTGTATGCATACATGTGAGATTTTACTTATAAATGCTTCTTCTTACCTTTCTTAGCTTCTGCATCAGTTTTCCATAGGATACCAAAATCACAGATAAAGGCACTATAAAACAGGTGGTGAAGAATGCAATAATGTATGTACGGTCAGTATAAGCTCCTGAGTACCTGTATAAAACACAAAATACATTGTGTATGTATTACTAACCTCTGTCTAACTTTGCTGTTCAAGGCTGTCACTAGTATTTTTGTCAACTGCTTTGTTCATTACAGCTCTAATCATATCACCAGATGGAGCCCTGTGCCACCTCCCTGGCCATGGGCTAGGACACGATCCTATGGCCACAGCATCCTAGAACTGTAGGACAGTTCGGGACGATGGGACATGTAGCCCAACCTCCTGCTCAAAGTGGAGTCAGCTATGGGGTCAGAACAGGTTGCTCAAGGCTTTGCCCAGTCTTCTGAAAAACCTGTCTCTTTGCCCTCTATGAATCCTGACAAAAGCACAAGGTGCAGGACAGTTCTTGTCATCAGAGATGGAAGCTCCTCCTTTAGATTTCCTTTAGATTTTTTTTTTTTTTTTAATTCTGTTCTTGGCAAATTTTGCTCAGTTTTGCTGCAACTTCTTTTACATCCATTTTTACAGAGATGTACATCAGATGTACATCATCCTTAAACCTTTCCTTTAAATTCCTGTCCCTGAGATGTCCTGAGCTGCAAGTTTCATTTCTTTACCATATCATTTAAGAGTGGCCTTACCAATTAGGCTCACAAGTAGTTCCAATCTTACTGGTGGTGTAACTGCTCCAACCCATTGTTGGTGGAATGGTCCAAATGAAGGAAAAGGTCCACACAAAGGCAATACCCAGGGCTGCATGCTTCCCACTCAGGTGCATATTTCCCAGTGGGCGGCAGATCACAACGTACCGCTCAAAAGCCAACAGAGCAAGAGACCAGAGAGCAACAATGCCTGTAGGAAAACACAGACAGTGTCAAAAATTGAGAAGATTCACTGAAAAGCAAGCACGATCCCGCATCCCAGAGCTGGTTAGGATGAAAGGCACCTCTGAAGGTCACCTAGTTCAACACACCCCCCACCACACACACAAACCCCCTTCAAGCACAGGCCATAGTGCAGGCTGTCCGGGACCAACTCCAAATGGGTTTTGAATATCTCCATGGATGGAGACTCCACAACCACCCTGGGTCAGCCTGCCCCAGTGTTTGATCACCTATCAGGCACCTCTCCATCACCTCTTTCATTAACACAAGTTTATGAAAGATTGTGCTATTTATGTTCATTATTCTAATATTTATTAAGAGCGCAAGATTTTCATATTTGTCTAGTTTGTCAGTCTACAGTACAATGACTTGCAACACCAAGCAGCTAATTGGGCCACTTAACTGACAATGACTTCTTCTTTTCCATTCAGTTCTACTCTGAAAAGCTGCAAATGATGTGTAGCTTCCAAACAAACAAATTAAGATATATCTTCAAAACACTATCATTGCAAGAAATGTCGCATTTCAGACTGTCATAAAACTCTGATCTACAGACAGCTGCCCACAACAACAAATTACCAGTTTATCAGGCACATATCACCTGGTTGGCCACCAAAACCTTGAAATATCCTGATCTTTATTCATGAGACACAGCTTACATGCCCCAGACTGATTTAGCAGCGCTGTCCCATGCCAACATTTCCTCTCTGTGTAACTTAACCAGGCTAAGAGCAACCTGGGGCTCCTTTTTTCAGGCTGCAGATCAGGAATGCGTTTGATTCAGAGCAGTGCCAACAGTCAGAAGGCTGTCTCTACTAAGCAGCTTTAAAAACAGGAACGGGGAGGCAGGAATGTCTCTCTTAAGTAGAGAACCCATTTAAAACTAATTATCCATTTCTTCTGCAGAGATGTATTTACACAGGGACCTATGTGGTTAGGATATTCCCTGTTAGAGTACTTCTAATACTTTGCGTAGTTAGTAAAATGAAGTAAAGAAACAAAACAAGTGGGTGTGTGGAGTGACTGTTTTAGCTGTATCATTGCTATAACCCTGCAGGTAGCTAGTGAAAGATGTTTCCATAATATTTTCCACCGTTTAAAAGCAGCTACTCACTCTTCTTCTCTCTCTGTTATTTATTCACACCTACACACACCTAAATACAAACCTTGAAAACAATTACACGTCCAGAATTTTTCCCCGATGTTGTTTTACTCAACCTCCTCCTCCCCCCAGAGCCATTAGTGTATTAGCACACTTTTCATTATATTAAACATATTCGGTGATCAGTGTACATGCAACAAGCCACTGGTATATGACAGAGATCATAATATATATTATTAACTCACACATGAGATCCAATACAGAACACATTTAACTGGGGAAAGAACCAGCGAGTGAAAAGCATGTAAAGTCAGTCACTTGGGAAGCTGCAGGATAGCTACTGGCATACACTGACGGAAGGTGAAGGAGAAGAACATACAACTACAAACAAAATCAAGCTTACCAAAAAATGTGACAGCAAATCCTTCCAGGACACAAGCCCAGTAACCCATATAAAAATAACCTTCTAGGTTTGTTAAAAAGCTGATGATGCCACCAGTCAGTGAGACCAGGAAATCAGCCACAGACAAATTGACTATAACATAATTGACAGGTTGTCTCAGTTGCTTGAACTTAAAAGTTACCAGGATCACAGCCAGGTTCTCAGCAAGCGACAGGGAGGTCACCACCAACATTACTGCTGCCAGAAGCCTGAAGTGCCAGGGCTGGATGGAATCCAAGGGACGATGGAAGGGATCCCATCTGGCAAGACCAGAGGAACTGGACAAAAGTGACTCATTTTCAGGTGCCCTGGATGCATCCATTTTCTCTCTCTCATTAGCAAAAATAATACTCTCTAATACTGGAGTTTCTAACCTGTAAATAACACTGAAAATTAAAAGGAGAAATTTACGGTCTCCAACAGAAGTGTGAACAAACTCTCCATGCCTCCACTTTCCAGGAATAGTCCAGAATAGTCCAGAAGACAACGTTGTGGTCAGAGGAAAGTTTAGTGCTGTGCAATGAACAGTGATGAGCAGGAAAATCCCTTAGAACAACTTCTTCCCCTTTCTGCCAGCAGTCTCCTACCTCTCTCCTGCTGCAGCCGTGCCTTTGTAATAAAACTCAGCTACAGAAGCTGCAGGTTTCCTCCTTCTCAGATCATCCCTTCTCTGGGGGGGGGGGGGCAATGAAGCATTGGCTTGGAAGCCTCCCTGACCTTTAGCACTGTAAAAAAGAAGCTTTCCTTTTGTTAATAGGATGGTGATCGTCCTCCTGCCCTGTGCTGCTGGAGCACAGCAAGGGGGAGGCTCCCCCTTGGCTTGTTTTCTTGAAAGAGGGCAGCCCTGAAAAGATTAATGCTGGGCAACTGCAGCAGCTGTAAAGCAGGCAGTGAGACTGCACTCACACCCCTGCCCACAGCTCAGGGGAGCTCATGGCCTCCGAAACGAAGCTCCAAATTAAATAGGTTTTCTGTGGTAGTCAGTGGAATATCAGCCTCTACCAGAGACAGAACCGATATCATTCCTGTTGAAGGCATAATAATTGCAGCTTTAGTGCTAAAAACTCAAATATGCACAACAATATTTAGAAAATGGGGTTTTTAAATACATGAAAATAAATAAAATCAGTACACTATGAAATGGGAAATCTCGTAGCTGGTCATATATTTCTGATAAAAATGACTGGATGCCATTTAACAACTTTTTAATCATTAGCAGCCAGGGTTACTTGTGGTTGTTTCCAAAGGCGAGTAGCTGAGTCACCTTCACACCCTAAGGAGGCACAATACTGAGGCAGATATTCCAGCACTCCCATTCTAAATGACTGCCAGTAATAATTCTACAAATGAAGCTTGATACCCCAGGAACACGGAGCTCAATCAGCTGTGTTGGGAGGTAATTCCTGGGGACTGTAATTGTTAATCTGACCCTCAGTGTATTAACCAGAGCCGGAAATACAAAAGCACTCCAGTTCCCATCTTGGAGTTCCCACTCTGGACACACACCGTATACAACATGTGCATAAACAAACAGGAGCTGGAGTGTGAGTGAAAATGAATAACATTACCTGCCCATACATTCCCTTGACTTCATACTTGCTTTGGTTTGTACATGAAACCCTCTGTTAACACAGGTTAGAAAGTTTCGGCATACAGGAATGAAATGAAAAGGGTTTATGGACACTGGCAGAAATACGCATCAGAAAAATTCAGACTATTTTCAACTAAAAAAACCCCTAAACTCCTACTTACGATAACCAAAATAGCAAAGGTGTTTTTAAATGGTTAGTATATCCTCAGCTGAAAAGGAGAGAGGCACTTCTTAATCAGACCAAATCTGATCAGAGTACTCACAAAATGATACTTATTAAACAGAGAAATAAAAAAATTCCAGCTGCCATGAATAAAACAAGGATCAATACACAACAACATTGAAATGCCTCCAGCCAGGCTTTGTATGGCACGACTCCATGTCAGCTCCACTGGCTACATACTACAGCAGAAGATCTGACCACAGATTTAAAATGAACTTTGAATATCATATCGTTTGAAATTCTACATGGCTTTAAATTCCCGCGGATGTCAGAATGAAACCAGAACTCTGGATTTAGCATATAACAGAGAAGGGAGTATATGGCCTTCTCTAAGGTGCGACTCTATTGACTGTACATTGACACCTCTTTTAAGCAATGGATAACTATTGTCTTTATTGTTGTTTTTTTATGCTGTAGTACTGTTCGAGTTGTTTGTATGAGTTATGACCTTGGTTACAGTTTAAATGCCTTTTTCTTGTGCTTCCTCTTTGTTTAGAATCCTTTGAAAATACCCCTATGCTGTCTTGCTTGGCTGTTTTGCTTGTTTTTCTTCTTCAGCAGTCAACTTTGTCACTGAAAGTGATTCTCTGCGACATGCCCTCTTATTACAACTTAACAGCAGGTGCACTTCTTCCAGCACCAGGGGTTTGCATTTGCTCCTTCCCTCCACAGTTGCTGCCCCTCTTGCACTGCAGCTTCCCCACTACCATCATTCCCCAGGTGCTTTTGGTTTTGTTTTTAATTTTGTTTTACGACATTTTTTCTCAAATCAGTATCAGATAAATGTAGAGAGACAAAGCATTACCTTACGAGCACAGGCAGAACAGGAGCATCTTGGGTCTGGAGCCTCCATTTAAAGAGGCAGCTGTTCTTCAGCCTTACATCACAAGATCTTTAGCTGCTTTTATTAAGGTCTTGTTTTCCATTAGTGCCACATCCTTTTCCTAGGCTTCCATATACTGAAAAACTTGGAGCACATGCAAACAGAAGAGTCCATGTTCATCATATCTCACAAATCTGCTCTACTTCAGTCTTCATTTTCTTGGACGGAACGGAAGCACGACTTGCCTCCTAGGCAAAGGTGTTCCTGTCTAACATTTCATAAGAAGAGATAAGTTGGTAAACAACAAAAAAGCCTCAGGCTATGATTAAACTGCTGCTGGTAAAGCAGGGGACATACAGTCAGTGAGGTGAAGAGAACGTGTAACTAACAGCACTTGCGTAATACGTCTATGGTAATTCCACCTGTAAGACAAAATCAGGATGACAAGAACAGTGCTAACTGAGAAAAAAAATCTGGTGCCTGAAACTGTATGTAGCACTTAGGGAATTAGCCCTGCATTTACCAGTCCCACAAGACTCAGACAGGGAAATGAACTGTAATGTCAGTGTAGTATTTCCAGTGGTGCACTGGAATTGGTTCTCTCAGCCTCTGAGCATGTGATAGTCCCAAGATGCTGCCAGCAGTGGCCTTCACGCCCGAAGTGACTGTGAAAGTTTTGCTTTGTCCCCAAGAAGGATTTGATTTAATCACATTTAATTAAAGCAAGCAGCATATTCTGCTCTTCAGGGGTTTTGTGGGGATCTGAAATGAAGGATCCCACTTTTTGTAGAACCAAACTCGCTTCTGCGCCGTACATGAGTGCCCATCTTGGTGACTGACCTGGCCACCCCAGAAGTCAATGTCTGTTTTGAAAAAAAAAATAAAATACAAAATCCAATTGTATTCTGACCCTAATTTCTTCGAATATTTGGTCTCAATCTAACTACTGAGCCTCTTCATGCCTGGAAAGGTTCAAGGAAAGCACCTGCAAAACCTAATGGCAGACTTTGCTTGAGAACCCTATGAAAGGACTGCAGTGATTGAACTCATTTACCTATTCTCAAAATAGGCCCACATCCTTTTAGAACCTGTCAAAACCTGAGTATAGGAAATGGGGTTTCTGTTAAATTTCTGGAAATTTAGGCAAATATTGTCCTGCTGCTGCCTAACTAAATGAAAACCATTCAGAGCATCACATCAGAATTGAGAACAGAGGAGAAAGTTGTTAGTCCTTTGCAGTACCATATTATAAAGATATTGCAAAGTACCTTCATATAACCCATTCAGAAGCTTCTGTGGGTGGATACTTTGCCTAAACACCAGCCTAAAGATTCAAGAAAAGAGCCAATGTAAAAAAAAAACACAACCCAAACCATGAGTAGAGTGGGCTTTTCTAGTGGATCAGGCTATGTCACTGAAACATCTGATTCCAGGTGGTCAGTTTGCCTATACAGAGAGTACTCCACATGTTGGCATTTGAAACTGATTTCCTCCAGCCATTTCTGGGTTTTCAGCTGCAGTTTTCTTGCAGTTACTGAAAGACAGCAGTTACCACGTTTGAAGTCTGCTCTCAGGAAACACTGAACTATCATAGTGGAAAAATTCTGTCTTTGCCCTTTTGAGTGACTTGGAGGAATTATTTTGCTTTCTTGCTCATTAAAAGAACAAGCGTGGGGATAAAAGCTGTGTGCAAAAGAGGCATTTACACCAGGAAAGATACCAGCATAGTTACAAGACTTCCAGCAACCAACAATATGTATCAAAGCTGGTAGCTAAAGGAAACCTGCTCTATGAATAAGAAACTAATTCAGATACTGAGCACCAGAAAAGGAGACGGTTTGTTAGCAGGCTGTAGTTACTTGCGACACGCTAACAATATCTTGCAATTTGAGGCCTCATCTGAGCAGATGTAAGATACTTTGCAAAGCTCAGCTAAACGTGGTTGCCTGGGCACTGTGTAGCAGCAGTTAAGTAGATGGCAATAATTTCATAATTTCACTAATTCTGACTTAAATTATTTTGCTGCCACTATAAAAGTTTTTCCACAGATTTTTGAGTTTTCACCCATTTGCTTTCACATGATACTAATCCGTTAACACCCTGGTAAAAGAAATCAGTCTTTTAACAATAAGCAATAAAGTCAATAGTCACTGAAAGAGCTGACACTGTCACAATAAGCAAAACAACACCTTAATGGTTTGGTTTTCCTCAGAAATTGTATTTCCTCAGATGAGCGGTGTGAATTGTTTTCCAGTTTTTCACCTGGCAGTTCCAAGTAAAAAAATTTTTCACATGAGATTTCTTATCTAAGAGGATTTTTCTATTATGAAATCCTCATTCAGAGGAAAGGGGACTTAATCAGGCAAGAAATCTTTAGGAGGACCATATACATGAGAATCTGTAGCCTTAATAACTGCCATTTAAAAAAGTTTGCTATTAGCTACATCAAATACATGTTGTTTATTTTGCAGTCCCTAAAGACAGCAAATGGTATTTTCCATAAACTTCTTAGTACTAGATTGAGACCAAATCTTTGAAGAAATTAAAGGTAGAATACTATTTGCAGCTTTGCATTTGTTGTCATACTTACATTCATTGGAAATATGATAAAGAAATCAACATCTTGATTCTATGATACTGTGCATGACTAGTTTCATCCCAGCCTAAAAGTCAATATTCTGGTAGACTCTCACCATCATCATAGAAACATAGGATCATAGAAGGGTTTGTGTTGGAAAGGACACTAAAGCTCACCCAGGTCCAACCCCCTGCCACATGCAGGGACCCCTTCCACTGGAGCAGCTTGCTCCAAGCCCCTGTGTCCAACCTGGCCTTGAGCACTGCCAAGGATGGGGCAGCCACAGCTTCTCTGGGCACCCTGTGCCAGCGCCTCAGCACCCTCACAGGGAAGAGCTTCTGCCTAAGAGCTCAGCTCAGTCTCCCCTCGGGCAGGTTCA